TACTACTACTCTCTCTCTCTCTCTCTCTCTCTCTCTCTCTCTCTCTCTCTCTCTCTCTCTCTCTCTCTTCGCAAACTTCTCTATGTAAGTCTTGCCATCGTGTTGTCGGCGAGCGCAAAAATGTGTTTGCACGGTTCAGTGACAAACACGCATCCAACGAAACGTATGCACGTACAAAACGGCCTTGCCGTCTGTGGATTTTCCAACGACAAAACCAGTTCCCGCGAGCTGATGCTAATGAATTTGATAGCAGAGACAAACGTAGAACAGAGGACAAAGCCTCTAACTTGTCGATTTCAGAGTAAAGTTATGACATGATATTTTAGAATTGGAATTTCCGTATTAATTTGATGGATTTTATAACTGTATGAGTGTTGCTTCTATAATGAGAACACTGTTGTTGACTATATTTACTAAAAATAGATAATAGAACGGCTTCTTTCAATAAATCAACAAATTTTTATTATTTTATTACAATGAAAAGAATATCTGGTTTATGAAACAGGAATGTAGTCACGAATATTTTATTGATTTAAATGCAATATTAACACGTTATATCGGAAACTTATTCATATTGAGCTACAGCATATAAATATCCAAACTGTATCTTCGGTGAAACGCGCAAGAATTTGAAAAGCCAAGTACCTCAAGTGCGTCATATAATCGCTCAACTTAATGTGATAATTAGGAATGGAGTTTCTAATTGATTCCTAGAAAGGCCTTTATTATCACGAGTCGTTAATAAAAATCATTGCTTGTAAGTTTGCCAGTCAATGGATATTATTATGAAGGCAGTTTCACTTCATTCTGTTTCTTTTCATTAACATTAACTTTATTATGAAAGATAAGTGTCTTTCATAAATCTCAGTTAATGAGACAAGTTTGCCACTTTTGAAAATCAAAATTTCACGAGGATTAGACTCATTAAATTCAACGTTCGTACACACGATATAAATACTTCTATAATATATTAGTTGCATTAAGATTATAAATTATTAATTTGTAACTAAACATCAGACAATAATTTAATGAAATGTAGACACACACGTAGAGTAAGATCGAAGAATCACACTCTTCAATACATTTATAAATATATAATTGATTCAACTGTGAATAAAAAAACAATGTCTGCGAAAAGAACGAGGAAGGGGAAGCAATCAGGATCTCAAGTCTATTTTAATCATGAAATGTATTAAAATATGCATGATAGAAGGAATACAGTTTTCTCAGGTATGACGAATGAAGCTACGTACATGATAATGACGTGTCTGACGTGCAAGTAATAATTTATGCATACTATTACGCACTTGATTTTCCCGATAGTAACGAAACAAAATCGTTCAAAATAACGCGGAGCAACGGGAGTGATTATCTCCCATCGCTGAAACTCAATGAAAAACACGGATATTACTTTCGGCAACGTGATAGATATCACCCAATTGATTTGCATCAAATACGCCAGCTTATCATGTTCCGCTATCTTTGCATCGCGACAGACGCAAATTGCCCGTAAACGCAACGTCCTGTGAATAATTTTCGTGTTAGGAATGTAAATTGTCATTCAGTATGCGCGTGACGGAGAAAAAGAGCCTTTATCGCATACTGGAAACAAAGAACATTTCCTGTTACGGGAAAGCTTCGTGGAGCCGAAGATATGAAGAAGTCAGAGTTACGTCGAAGCGGCGACTTTCGCAGTTGTGAATTGATTATTCCGAAACTATTCACCAACGTTCACCAGTGTTAAACGATTTAACATTTTCATGTTTTATAATTCCAATAATTTACATATATATATATATATATATATATATTTACACACACGCGCGCGCGCGCGCGCGCGCGCGCACACACACACACACACACACACACACATTATATACACATGCGCACATATGTACATTATCATTGTTTATCACCTAGGTCTACGACGCACATTTGGTTTCTTGAAGAAAAATTATTTTAAAAAATATCAGAAATATCCTTTTTACAGTGTTTCAGGGAACGAATGATCCGAACGAATTCTCAAAGAATTCTTCAGATCATTCTCTATGAATGGAATACTCAATGGATATCCGCAGGTCTACGATGATCGTACTCACCTTGCTGTCGAGGAAGACTGAGCGCTCTGACAAATTCACGTTTTTCGCGGGCATGGAAGATCTGCTGTCGCTGCTATGTCTCGATCGCACAAAACACGTGGAAACCCACGACGCAATTCACCTCGCCGCGTTGATCGCCAACGACCGACTGACTTGGGACTTGGGCAGCTGACGATGAAACATGCCGCGTGACCGACTGGGGAATCGCACTTCTTTCTTTTTTTGCAATCTTATCAGGCACAATGATCGAGCAGTTCATTAGCACAATTTACACGGTTTGGAATGGAATTGATAATTTTTTAATTTTTATCGCCGACATAGAAAAGAAAAATTGGGTGAGTCATGTACGATAAAAATTGGGCCATTCATCGATTAAATTAATCGCCGATTAAGTTATTTGGAGTTTAATCGACATCAAAAGAGCGTTGATCAAATTCTACAATTCTATTCCTAGTAAATATAGCACTATTGTCGATAAAATATGTAGCAAATGTAAAATCTGTTTGTGACAGATTTATATCGATTTCTATCGATGTAAATTAACTTTTCTTTTAACTAGTCTTGAATATTTATTTTTAATCTTTTTTTTTTAATTTTAAGAATTAAGAAAAGATTAAATTAAACTGAAATTAATTAATTAAGTTAATTTATATTGTAATATCAATTTCTATCAGAATATATATATATGTTGACTTCAGTCTCGGTTTAATTTACTCTTCATCTTTTCCTAAAATCTTTTCTTTTAAAATTAAAAAAAGATAAAAAATAAGATAAGATAAGTTAATCGTGAAATTGATGTCAATCTGTATTAATAGAAATGGGTATGAAGCAGCAAATACGTTACTGATCCATGCGATGTCAAAAGATGCGCGACATGGAGCAACATGCAGTACGAGCAAAATGCGAGAAAATACGGATTCGGAGGCTTTTTTCGAAAAATATACGTTATCGGAAGAAACCATGGCGAGACTCGAATCTATCAGAGAAACGATGAAAGATAAACTTGCTCAAGCCAATCCGCTGTGGGAAGTGATAGCTGGACAGGTTAGAATTGCATGAATTGAGGCATATATATTATGAATTATAGTCTTTAAGTTTATTATGATTTAATTTTTAAACTGATCATTTTCTCTTTGATGTTTAAAAAAACAAGATTAAAACAAAAAATCACTAATATTAGGTCATTTCAAGCTTTATATATGTGTGTGTGTGTGTGTGTGTGTGTGTGTGTGTGTGTAGTGTGTGTGTGTGTGTGTGTGTGTGTGTGTGTGTGTGTGTGTGTGTGTGTGTGTGTGTGTGTGTACATAATAAATATTGCCAATTATTTATTTAGAATGAAGAAAAATGCTCAGAAAGCGAAGAGAGTGACGATAATGATAAACCAGATGATAATGAATCTCAAAAAATGAGTGACCAATCAATAGCACCATTGTCAACTCAATTTTATTTCACACAATCTGAAAGAATTCCAGAACTAACAAGATCTGAAGATATCCCTTTGCCACAGATGCAGGATATTTTGGAATGTTCTTGTGAGAATTTAGAACGAAATAATGGCAGGCTAGACTTTACCCAGTTGGAAAACTTATCCAATGAAGATCTAGTTTCATTAGTGGATGAAATGAGAAAAAAATTAAGTCACAAAGGTGTCTATAATTTGTGTCAATCCATAAATGATATGATTCTTGAGCAAAAAATGAAGTATCTCAATATATTTTGCACGCATCTGTTGCTCCCAAAGGTACTAATGACATATTATTGGTTGAATATCAATTATTCTCTTTTTCATGAATTATCATTATGATCACAGATACTTGAACTTGAGGAACCATCCCGTTTACTGTCATCTGCAATTGTTGAATGCATTAAAATATTTCCTGATGAGATACAGCAGTTTATATTTATCCCTATTCTCAACACTGAATTAAAAGATACAACATTGATTATTACTCTTGTGAACACATTTGAACAGCAAAGAAAGACAATGCTCTTAGAGTATGTTTCACAGTTGCGTGATATATTTGTAATCATAGATTTATAATGCTTATTCTGTATCTTTAATTCAATTTTAAAAACTGAATCTATTTCAAAAATGATGAACATATTTAATGATTTTTTAATATTTTTTTACAGAGACTTTCTTGTACATGTCAAGGAATTGAAATTGTGGCACATATCTGTATTGCAAAATTTTTTATCTATAAGACTGGACCACAACATGCTTGACAAAATTATAAAATTATTTTCGGGAAAGGCACTTTATTTTTCAAAAGATAAAAACTTTGGAAAGCTTGTATTATCCTTCTTAAAAATTAATACAACATTATCAAAAGATCAGAAAAATTTAATGATCGAAGTCGCTGCCGTCAATGAAACGTTATTCAAAAAACCTATAGAAAATATTTTAAGGAATATGTAATTAGAAAAAAAACAAAAAAGAAAATATTTTCTAGAATATTACAATTGTAATTTTATTTTATAATTTAATATTAATTTAATTATAATATATTCTAATTTGTTATTCTAGCAATTAAAATTTTGTTGGCACGATTTTTAAAGATTTTTTATTTTCTTTTTTTTTTATATTTTTCTTATTTCGTGCAAATACTTTCTTAATTTCTTGAGTTCCTCATTCATTCTTCGTTCAGTTTCTGAACTTATTCTTCATGTTTTTGTATATTACAGGGATTGAGGAAGATCGTTGCGTTTTCTCTGGTTTTTTCGATGATAGCATCTCATTCATGTTATCTCTTTTCGGGCTAGGTTTGATATTATTTTTCAATGAAAGAAATATTAATACTTTTAATATTAATTTCTTAAAAATTAATATAAAAAATTTTATAAAATTTGACATTAAGAGGGGATATAATTAATAAAAATAAATTAGTTTGTGATCAAGTCGATGCGCGCGAGATACGACTCCGTGCGCCGATCAGCTGACTGGAGGTATTTCCATTCGAAAATTCGAATGACAGTTCATAGTTTATTGTCCGGAAGTGATATAGGAATCTCGCGTAAAGACTAGCGTCCGGTGACAAATTATTCGCGGACGTAGGCCGCTTCGGTCATCGGTGCAAGAATGACACAGGAATTGTCCGGAGTGACCATAGTGATATTTATAGCAGCGGGCGTTTTGACAATATTGTTACTATTCATCTTTGCGAAACGGCAGATTATGAGGTTTGCCCTGAGATCTCGTCGGGGCCCCCATATCCCCATAGGACACGACGCGAAAAAGGTGCGTGCTATTGTCGAATCTGCAATTTTGAGGTTAACCCTTATTACGGTATTGTCATATATAATGTTCATTTTTTACTAATGTAGATCAACTTTCATCTCGGCTTAACTTTTTTAATCTCTTTTTAGTTCTAAAAATTAGAGAAAGATAGAAAGTAAATTAAACCAAGATTAAAGTCAATCTACATCAATAGGAAATGGACATAAATATGTTGAAAATTTTTTCAGTCCTTGAAGAAGGAAATAGAGAGGAGGATAGAAGTGATACCTAGGATTCAGTATGAACCGCAATTGATCAGCGACCCTAGATACATTTTAACTCCAGGGGGACAAGCACCGCCACATTATTATAGACTGAAAGCAGTCGACGATGTTAAAGCTTTAGGTAAGCTATGCAGTTGCAGTATAATTAGCCTAAGCCCTCCTTTTATCTTTCACGTTTGCAGAAGCAGAGATTACAAGGTATGACAATTGTCTGAAAAGACATCCTTCGGAGAATCTGAGGGCTTACTTGCTCACTACACTTGCCACTCCATTGAATGGAAGTGGCCAGCGTTTAATTCATCAATTCTGTGATCTGTACGAGCATGCGAGGCATGACCCAACTGAATTTGGTGATGAGGAATATCAAGTATACACTCGTTTATTTTTGAAATTGATGGACGCGTAAGTATGATTTGATGTGTGACATGTCTAATCTTTCCTCTTGATCTAAGTATTGCTGAAAAAAGAAATATTTAGATTTAAATATAATTTGTTATTTGTTCACAGGGCACGTTTATTGAAATCATATCCAAGCAGTAGGAAGTCCAGTCCCAGTCGTACGCCCATCAAAAAGAGCATAGAGACAAAGAGAAATATTCTGGAACCCAGGATGCGCCCGCCCGAGGAGCAAATCCTAACAGGTTCGAGACCTAATACTCTAACGGTAATGACGTTAGACAATAGTGAGACATCTGTGTAGCATTATGAGTGCCGTCACATACAACATATGTGACGAGGAAATTTGTAGATAGGTACATGACACTGAAATAATTTATATGAAGCTACGTGCTACGTAGGACGTCCGATTTAGTTAGGAATTATTGATATGCATTTTTACTTTTACGATAAGTGCACCTAAACTCGCCATTCTATTCAAGTTGAGTATCCGTAACGAATAACGTATGTTTTGTAGACAACGAGCAAGTACCGTTTCTTTCTGTGATTTATTTGATATTTATATTTATATGAATTTATATTTACAAATCAGCCTTATATATAAAATAGAGTTTTCGCATTCTTTGCACCGGCATCGCTTGTAAAGTATTTTTAACAAGTACTGATGTATATAAGAACGATGTGTAGAAGTCGAGAATTAGAAAATTAGTAGTAGAAGACAATTTTTTAAAGCGTCCATTTTTTTGTCACGTGTAATTTTTCAGGTGATAGTGGGGCTAAGTCATAAATTACTAATCGTACCTTCTCTTCCAGTTATCTCCGAATAATTTAATAAAATTTACATACACTCGGTCGCATATAGATCTACATATCTCTAATAAAATTCGGAAGAATATTTACAGTAATTAAAAGATAATAGGAAGCTATTTGTTTTTAATATTTATCTTTTAATTAACACGATGACGATTAGCATATCTTTTTCTACTATTTGTTACTATTTAAACATAGAAATTTTTAACAATTTAACGAAATGAATGTTAATTACGCAATAAAGATATGAACCTAAGTGTATGTATATATCTGTCGAAGCTTGAGATGTAAATTGTTATTTTATTAGTAATAAGATATAGACATATTGAAATAGAAAATGTCAGGTATATTTACAGATGTTCATTACAATTGTAAGATTTAATATAACAATTGTAAGAGTTAATAATGTTCAAGGCTGAGTAATACAAATAAGTAGATCGGTTCAACATGAAAACTTCCCTTTTTTATATAAAAATATTTCTCATATAAACATATTTCTCTTTAGTTATATTTGAATACAAGTCTTGACTGATAAATAATTTTTCCATTGTGAATTATAGTCTTCTTCATGCCTTAATAAGATTAATGCGCTCTGGAACGCAAGTATATACACATCAGGTACAGAACTGCTCCTCATGTGATTCAACCATTTCATAATCTAAAAATTATCAGTACGGTTTAATATCTTTGTGTATAATAGATGTATTCCTCGTTTTGCGACGAAAAGTTCTGTCATGTAATTATAATATGTAAATATATTTCTTTAGTCGTTAAAAATGATGAGATTATAAATAGCTTTATATTACTTACACACAATATCTGTAACTGACGAAAGACAAAAAATTTACACATACCTGGCGTGTTATAGATTTCCAAATTTGTCGATCAATGAGCACAGAAATCGCTTGTGGAAACAATCTCATTCTAATATCTTGCGAAATAATTAGTAATTCTTTTTTCGGCAGAAAGCAGTCCATGCCAGACAAACAGATAACTAAGATGAATAAAATATCGCAATAAATAGTTATATTGATTTTTTTGTCTGATGTCTCCACCATGAGCGCGTCAATGTGTCTTATGAAATCCAAGATCCAATCTTTCTGCGATTCAAGATCACAGGATTTTTCCAATCTTAAATCAGTCTGCACTTTTTGTATACTTTCCAACAAATGTTTTTGCATCCTATAAAGACAGAGAAAATTTAGACAGCTTAATTGAATATTGAGTCTGTTACAATAAAAACTAACAATACTTACTTAGGATTAGACTCGGTCATATTAATAAGTTCATTCAGCCAGATGAATGGTGTGTTGGTACGTTCTCTAAAAGCTAATTGGGTTCTAATAGCGATGGCAGTTTCCAGTTTCCTTGGTGGTATTACCCACCAGGTGCTAGGCGACGTCATTTTTTCAACATCCTTAGTCAACAATTCCATAACAGCTGCGAAATATTTTTCGAAGTGTTTGGACGTTAAATCAACTTTTTCCGATATTTCCTCCAACATTGTGGTCAGCAGCGTACGATTTCCCATTTGTATCGTGTTATCTTTCAAAGCAATGACATAAGAAGACATAATATGATTGAACAAATAAACAGATTTTTCATTATTCACTAAGATTTGATCAATGGCATAATGAAGAGAAGTTTCGAGAAACTTTTGCAAGTTGCTTGGCTGAATAGTCTGACATAATTCCGCCAGATTCGAGTAAAGTACCAAATGTTTCTCATTTAGCAACAATCGACCGGCTTCTGACGCAGACGTATACATGGATAAGAAACTTTCCGTTAACAATTTCGCCGACAGCGAGGTTTGACAATGACGACTCGCGATCGACAGACTGTACTCTTTAGCCTCGTCCGATATTTGCATAGTTTCCATTAAAAAGTCCCACTTTATATTCGGCAATGGCTTCGCGTGCTTGTAAGCAAATATGCGCAAGCATTCCACCATAATTCTCTGATTATCCGGATCAGTCTTATCGTTTCGTCTCAAATATTCGCCGACGGCTCTTATTACACTTCTCTCAGGCAGATATTTAAAGTTTTGTGGTTCGCCTTGTGGCCAAGTGTATATCCGTGATCTGAAACTGTTTAATTCGTTTCCGATATAGAAAATTAGAAGATCTCCAGCCGTTGATAAAACATTTCTGTTCATCTTCTTTAATATTTGGATCCAATAAAAGCCCGGTATATGCTGTAGCAGGTTTTCGGATTTGCTACTTTCATCCGTCTTTTTAGATACGTGTGGTGCCGCAATGTCCGATTGGAAGTCTAGAGGTAAAGCGCTCAGAGGAATTCGGTCCACATGGTAAGACTTCAACGCCTTGAGCGCAGCTTTTGCGACTCTCGTATCATCGCAAACTGTGTAGTTCCATAAAAGTGTCACAACATCGATGATAAATTTGTCGTAGTCATCACTTGCACGAAATAAATACGAGGGAATACCCGCAAAAAGTTCGCACAGACTCTTTAGGACTACTGTGCGCTTCTCCTTGCGCATTTTTGGCGCTAACACTTGCCAGGTAGAGTAAATGCCTGTTGAGTAAAATCACGGAAAAGGAGAATTTGTATAGAAAATTACACAAGATACAAGAGAATAATTAATAGAATGTCTTTTAAAAAGAGTTGAACAGATAGTTGAATAGATAGAGTTCAAAAATATAAAATGCAAAGTACCTATCACTGTCGACTTGCATAGAGCCGAGATGCTGTTGAGTGCAAGCGCGGTGGCTGCTCCGCCGTTCAGATCAACACACCGATTCAGGATTTGCGAAAGCAACGGCACAAGTTCCTCACTATGTTCAGGCCGGCTCTCGCAAATGGACTTTATCGCATGAGCGCACGTCACATCCGACTGCCAAGTATGATCATTCTCCATAGTATCCATCAAAGCGGTGGATATGAAACGGTAGCATCGCGGTTCCTTCTCTAACGCCTTTACGTAAAGTCGGATCGCAAAGTATTTCAATGGCTTGCCACTGTTCAGCAGCGCGTCCAATGTATGAATGACAATTGGCAGATTTTCCTTGGTCATGACGAATTCCGGGACACTTAGCAACAAGTAGTGTAACGTGGAGCTATCGTGAGATTTTGTCAATTTATGAAGCAACAGCGATAGTGCGTGCGACGCGAAGGAATTGATCTCTCTCGCTATTTGTACGAGAATATGACAGGTTTTCTGCACAACGAGTGGTTCGTTGCTACGCAGGAAGATACCACATAAGATCAGCTTGCACATATATCTCAAATCAATTGGTGCAAGTGACAAATTCTCCAGCCATGTCATCAAAGTATCGTCTTTTAGAGTATACAGACTGTGAATGATTTCTATATAAAATTGGATGCACCTATTGCTATGACTGAATACGAGCAGCATCTTGTTTGAAACGATATTGTTATCATTATTCATTTCCTTTTGCGATATTATCTTGCTTAACAATTCTTTTGCTATCACTAATGCGTCAGAGCACAATAATGACGGATAAGCAAGCCATTTTAACAAAGATGCAGCCAATGTATTTAATAATATAATATGGCATGGCATTTTGTCTACGATAACTGTACCTATTACATACAAAATTAAACTACAGTTTTCTAAAGCAACATTATTGCTTTTAAAAAATATGATTTCATTATGAGAAATTAAGATTTTGATAAATATACTCACATATATGGAAGGCATTGAGCAAGTAAGCTGCAGGACATATTAAAATTATTTCTGCCATTAAAACTAGCGTAATATTTCCTATATAATTATCACAGCATTCAAAGAGATCTAACATCGTGCGGAAATTTTGTATTGGTTCATAGCCATATTCTAAAAGCTGTATCGTTAAAGATGCGATCAAAGGTATTAATGCCGTACAAAACTCTGTATCTTTTCTCAGCAACACCATATCTGCGAGTTCAATAATTCGATAATTTGTATCGACGCAGGTGTCTGCTCGATTAGTGCATAACCACAGCAAAATTTCTGTTTGTAAATCCATGGTGTTATTGGATTTGATCACAAGTTGCCATGCCTCCTGTCTGCAACTCTCGCATAAGTCCACAGAAGGATTGCACAATATGTACATGAATACAGGTCGCAGTAGTTTTACACTCTGCTGCATAATACTGAAATTAAATATTAAAATAAATAAATTAGAATTAATTAAAAATTAATTAAAATTTTTTAAGTTGTTTTCACATCAATTACATCCTTTAGAATTGAAAAAAACTTCTTCAATTTAAAAAAAAAACGTACTGTTTGTCATGATGATTCATAATGAACTTCATTTGGTTTAATACAGATTTCCAACTGAGTTTCTCCTGATTCAAGATTGAAATAAAAGGATGCTGTGTAGGAACTTCGAGAGTATATTCATTATGTTCATCACGTGACTTCCAATCTAATATCAATAGTTGACTCAGAGCTATGGTGATTGTTTGATAATTTCTACAATTTGTGACGAAGATATAAAGTTTGAAATAAGTAATTATTTACAGATCATTATACATATATATTGTACACACAAGTTTATTTAAAAAAAATAATATATATATATATATATACATACTTTGAAGAAGATAAACATGCCATGAATGTTGCTAATGCAGATTTGATATCCCATAATCCAGTTTCAGCAAGCACGACCAATGCCTGACATGCAGATGTGCTAACTATAGAGTCTTCACTGTTGCATTTAGATGAAAGTAATTTAAATTCTGATATCTACAAAGAAAAAAAATATATATATAATATATATAAATCAAATATTAAAATTGTAATTATCAGAGAAAGAAATTATTTACCTTTGAAATATCCTTTTCCTCTATCAACTTTTTTCTGATTATTTCAATCAATCTGGATATTGCCTGCAGAAAAATAATTGAATAACCAGACAGTTACAATACAGATACAAATATAAGATTAATTATTGTCATACTTACGTATGATATCAAAGTAGGATTCTGTGATCTTAATTTATAATCTATTTCGTCCATGTTCTATGTATGCTATTATAGGATCTTTTTATAAATTATATTTCATCCTGAAAATTGCAAAATTTCCTGTAAAATAAAAAAGAATCTATATCTATTCATATGAACCTATAAGTTGAAAGTTAAGTTAATATATATTTGATCTTTGCATCTCTTCCACGTTGGAAAATAATCAAATATAACCTAATTTATCGGATTCCAAACTGTGAGAGATGTTCAGATATTTTTAAGATAAAAGTAAATAAAAATATTGAATTGCAATATTAACTTATAGCTAATTATTAATTAATATTATATTACGTATTA